ACAAACCTTCGAACTGAGTGCTACCACCCTTATCGTCCCTCAGCTACACGGTCGATTGATTTGGCTCCTAAACCCCTAAGGTTTGCGGTTTGAGTCCCATTTGGGACGAAAAAATGATAATACGCACTTCTGAAGAGTCCCAACCAGGACGAAATAGCTTCCTCCTCAATTTTTTCACTTTCAAACATTATGAAACGAAATGATGAAATGCATCAGAAATGTGAAGATTAAATGAACTTACATTGAAGATCACCCATACATGAATAAAAATATAGCGAGTATGTGTCTGAATTCACAAATCTAGCTACTCTATGTGGAATAAAAGGCGGAGGAATAAGTTGAATGTGAAACGTACCGCTCTCTGTGTTGTAGCTCAGGAAGCTGTTTGTGCTTAGCGGTCTCCAGTTCCGCACATTGCTATATTTCAATCGGCTTATCCGGGGCTGATGCTCAACATTTAAATGCGCATCGGTCAGCTGTCGTCGCAAACAAGTGAAATTGACCGAGGTACTAGGCCACTCGGCACTGTTTGTGGAATCGTCATTGAGCGAAATAAATCGCATTAGTGGTACGGGATTAAGTGTCTTCGCATTGAGATCATATCGAACCGTTTTACCTGTAGCCGAGCCAAAGTTTTCGTGCAAATTCGGACTGCTAGAGGTCATTTTAAGCACACTATCCTGACTGGAGCTGTGGTGATTCACCGAGAGCGAATCGACACTTGAAAGCGGCTGATTAGTTTCCACATCGACACGGAACACCGGTCGTTGTGGTGATGGTTGTTGTTGTTGTTGTTGGTGGTGGTCTGGCTGTGGTTCCGTTCGTCCTTTATTATTTCTTCCAGCAGTCGGCTGACTGTTAGGTTTGAACTCGAAACCCGGAAATGGGATTGAGGTAACCGTCTGACCCCGCAACCCCGGGAAGAAGCCACTGTCCTCGGCAAACACTTTTTCCACCTCGTGACTGGGACCACCCAATAAAACTGTCTCGATGAAAGCCAATACGGTTGGATCGAAGAAAACCTGTAATCGGTGATGTGAAGGACAGGGGGAGCACGAAAACAATGGACTTATCATTCGAAATGGTATGACAATGGTATAAAAATCAGCCGTCCGGAATTCTGACATCAGTCTGTCATTAAAAGACAATACTTCTATGACCGATTATTTTCCTTTATCAACAATTAGTTACGCTGGAAATATCCCTGAATAAGGCATAACTCTGAAAGCTGGTGCTAAAATGGTAGAGATGAGATACTGGAAAAAACCGTGCGAAGGTAGGCTATTCTATATTGGTATTTGAGTTTAGATTTCTGTAAACAAAGCAACAACTTACTTTATCCTAGAAATGGACCATGTAAAAACCATTAGGCTCAGTGAGAAATTCATAACAGTAGACAGAACAAACAGAAAAATTTCCGTGACATTCATTTGCGACTTTGTTCACGTTTATCATTCGTTTCTCGCTTGCGAAAACGACTGAGAAATCAAAGGTTGCTTGTGCGCTTAAGTTGCCTATTAGCTGTCTGGTTCATGATTGAGGGGTTCGAATGTGGTGGTCCTAGCCTGGGGAATAACGTCAGCCACGGAGCGATGCGTTGCAATTTCTGGACGAACCACAGACCAATCGTGCCAGCCAGTCAGAAGTTGTGCCATCCAGACAGATGCTGTATGACGTGAAGAATGCAAGCAGGCCGTTGGTGGATATTAGTGTAACCAATAAACTTCCTTTGTACATGTACAGGCAGGCGTGAGCATTCCTCAGCTTGAACTGGCTGAGTACCTTCACACACATACACACACACACCTTGAATTGCCGAGCTGTATACAATATGCACAACTCATTTCCGACTTCACTAGTTCAAGGGGACTGTCAAATACGTTTTGCTATAAATCAATCGAATCGCCTAATGTAGTCCCGCGCTTAAGCAGATATTGGTAGTTTTCAAATCACGAAATATGTCCATTGCTTAAGAACACGCAGTGTAGGTGAACGTATGTTTTCGGTGCTGATCCAAGGTCTCAAACTACCCTAGCAAAGGGAAGTGAAAATATCTTTTTCAAACGACCATGACGTAACACAGCGCATTTCGGTTCGATATTGCGAACAGCGCACAAATTTGGAGTTCTCTCGGACTCATTACGAAACACATGACTCATTCATCTGACTGTTTGACCCTATCGAAATGGTTTCATATAAATATGATTTTTAGTTCTTGAAAAGGAATTCACCGAAAACATATTAGTAGACAGGTAAAAGTTTTTCCCTTTAAACCCGAAAGCCTAGGGTGCCATCCAGGACACGTGTACCACAAAGGACAGAACAGATGCCTGGTGCTACTCGTCAGCTCTTACAAACAATCAATCAGAGAAATATTTGCTTCTTGCTTTCAATCCACACTAGTTTGCATATGTTGTTCTAGGCTGCAAGTGAATGCTTCAGAGTGTAGACGGACATTCCATTGCTTAACGGACCGAGATCTTCGTGTTAGTTTGATCTGCTCTGGAGCAGTACAAAACAATTCTCATAATAAACTTGGTGACCGAAGTTTCCGTGTGAATAGCAATTCAGATTAGTGAGTTTGGTTGAGAGCATCTGGCTGGTCACAGGCACTAGGCACTGTTCATGCTCTTGCTTGTGAGTTTCCTTCCCTGAATGTTCGCCAAGTACCTTCGTGTTAACCCCAGTACGGTACTCGAAATCGGTTGAAAACATTCGCCGGTATTGACCGTGTTGACCATGAAGCCCCGGGGCTGGGAGTTTGAAAACTCTCAATCCCGAAGGTTCACGGTTCCAGTGTCGGCACAGACACTAAAGGTACACATTGCCAATGGGTCCAAAAACGGATTGAACAGGGGTCCAGTGCTCTTTGCTGGTCATTAAAGAGTATTCTATGGCATCCAGATAATAACTCTAACATCGGCCATGAATGCCAAGAAATTTTAAGCCAACAAGCTAGGGATATCGTTAATATAGTCAAGTCAAGTCAAGTCAAGAGGCGGCTTTACTTCTCCCTATAGGGGATGAACATTCAGCTACTACACAATCACTCTTCTTTGGAAATTACATGGTAACAAAGCGTATGATGATACGTTACATATACAAAAAGCCAATTTAGCCAAGATTTTGTCTAAGAGTTTTAATGACAAGATCAGCGTTGGTAAGGAACCGTGCTTGTATGTAGTGGTGCGTGCTGCTATATGTTTATACATGGAACGAGTGCTAGATGTGG